TTGTGTGACAATATCGGGGAAGATTACTGAAGTTGCAGTTGGAGGTTTGTAAAGTCCACTTCCATTCCCATCTGCTTTCGCAGATTCCAAGCACTACCATGCCACATCTCTTCATCTCCTTTGCAATCTGATCAGCCTCGTTAGGTTCATACATGGCGTGGACATTCCATGTCCCCATGTTTACCTTCTCTTTCATCGAGAGGAGACACATCGGGGTATTGGCTTCCTGAAGGCTTTCACCAAGAGGCGTCATTTCGTCTCCCCGATTCGAGCGCGGAATAAGTTTGTTTTTGCTTTTTATATTTTGTTTGTGGTTTGAAGTTTCTTTAGGGATTGGATTTGTTTTCTGGGGTGGGGTTGTTAGCCGTATGCCCAACCTTCCCTCTTTTTCTGGACTTAGGACCGGCTAGTAACTAGTGAACTATTTCACCAGGCAACGTCGGTTCGAATCCAGGCGCGGTCAAAATTTTCATCCCACCTTGAATCATCACCTAGTATACATACTGAGTTATCGAAGTATTTATACGAAAAATTGCGAAGAGAGTATATTTAGTCAATAAGAGAATAGTCAGGGTAGAACAAGAATATAGTTAAATTGTATTCATCTTTTTATGAAGATCGGTATGAATACTACCAAGATAGGTTCATTATGTGTGCTAACAGATTGGAATTTATGGATGATCAAAGATTCAATTAAATTTTGAGGGGTTGTGGAGATTTGGAATTATTTCAAGTTGTTATTCATCGAAGACTGACATCAGTTGGAGGAACAAAGGAAACCTGGGAGCACTGGACAGACAGCTGTTTCTTCCGACTACTATGGGACTCCTCAACAGTGCGCACCCACGACCCCACCCCACCAGGGATCGAACCCGCGACCTTCAGGTTCCGCGACCAGCGCGTCACCATTGAGCCACTGGGTCAGAATCCAATGCTCCATATTTCCAACTTCTGTTAGCTCACGATATAGCGCAAACCGCCACCCAATGTCATCGTTGAGTATTTGTCCTCACGGCCATCAGGCTTTGACTCCACTGGTCACGACTTGTCATTGGAACTTCGGGAATACTTCTCGAAGCTAGTCACCAACGACCCAGTGGCTCAATGGTAGCACGCTGGTCGCGGAACCTGAAGGTCGCGGGTTCGATCCCTGGTGGGGTGGGGTCGTGGGTGTGCACTGTTGAGGAGTCCCATAGTAGTCGGAAGAAACAGCTGTCTGTCCAGTGCTCCCAGGTTTCCTTTGTTCCTCCAACTGATGTCAGTCTTCGATGAATAACAACTTGATCAAAGATTCATTTAATTGAAGCCCATGGCCATGAAGAATTTTCGTCAAAGGAATAAATATATTTTTGTGATGAATGGGGATTTTTAATTTAGAAGTAGTATTCATCATGGACGAAACAGCTGTCCAGTTCTGTCAGATTTTCAATGGTTCTCCAACTGATGTCAGTCCACGATGAACACCTACCTCTAAATTCCAAGTGTCTATAGTAATTTTACTCTAGATGTTATCAGAATAAAAATTTATCATTGTGTTTAAAGTTTTCATTGAAAAACTACTTCGAAGTTGTTTTTCTTTTCTACTCTGTGATTAGTTTCTAGTGTATGTTTAGCAATAGATGAAGATAGATGTTTATCGCCTGGGCTTATCGAAACTGTTGGGGGGTCATTTGATTTTGAAGCCATTTAGGTGTATATGTGAAACCATTCTCAGCTATGGATAACAATTACTCCTCCCTATGTGTATGTGTGTCCACCCACACGAAGTTTGTCTTCTCTGAATTGCTGATGTTAGCTGCATGATATGTTTTTACAGATAACTGAGCTAGGCCTTTTTTCACAATGAAACCATATGAATCACCCCCTAGGTTGATAATGACAAGTAGACGTTTTTCTTAGGAATGGGATACAACATAATATTTTCCATTCTGTATCAGCGTCTTCCGTTGAGTCATCAGCGAAGATGTAATGTATGGTGTTAAATTAACATCTGACTGGACTGTGGTTATTTTGGATTGAACAATAATTATATTGTTGCATTGTGTTCTCTGAACTGGGTTGTCAATTCGTGGAGAAGCCTTCATCGTCTTTCTGGACAGTGACATCCTCAGTCTCAATATCTCTTCCTGACTGATTCAGAAGCTTTCCCTGACTGGCTGTTTCCCTTGATTGACTGACTGCATAGATTTTCCTGTTGGCTGTTCCTCTGCTTCACCTCTCACCTTTCTGCCATGTATCATTTTTCTTACTGGTTGATAAATTGAGTCTGTGTCTAAACATCTGTTGATGGCTGACTGACTGACCTGAATGCTAAGCTTTTAGGAATTCTCTGACATTCTTTGTGTTTCCTCTGTCCAAAATTTCTACATTGTCGAAATTGAATTCATGTCCATGGATGTTATCCGCATGCATTAGGTAATGAGTTATGAAATGTCGTGTGTGACGTTCAATAGCCAATTGGTGTTGATGTAGACGAAGACGAAGATGGGAGACTATTTTTTCTAATGTGTAGTGTTGACTACAGTGATTACAGTTGATTTTGTAAATGATATTCGGTTTGTCTTCTTTGGTTGTTGCATCGTTTGGTCTACATAATTGTGTTTGGAGGGGATTTGTTGGTTTATGAGTGGCTACACCAATTCCACCAAGTGGTCTCAGTAATCATCTTGTTGTGATTTCTGATATTATCCGTATATGGTGGGATGATGTGTTTATTGATTTCTGTGGATGACTTTGTAGTTGATGTTGTACGGGATAGACATGTTGTGCTGAAGTTTCGCAGGTTATCGTTCTTCTTTAGGATAGACATCAAGTAATTTTCTTCATATCTCTGTGAAGTTGGTGTACTGTAGTGCATTCTCGCTCTTTTGAATAGAGTCTACATGTAACTAATTTTATGTGTTTTTGGGTTGTTGCTACTCTAATTGAGGATTTGATCAGTGAGTGTTGGCTTCCTGTACACTTGAATTTAATTTTTACAATGAATAAATTTCGGATGGAGAGATGAAACACAAAGAATATCATCAGAGAATTCCAATAAGCTTGACATTCAGGTCAGTCAGTCAATCAGCAATCAACTCATGTATAGACATCGAGTCAATCTATCAACCAGTAAGAAAAATGATAAACGGCCATGAGGTGAGAGGTAAAGCTGAGGTACAGCCAACAGGAAAATCTATGCACTCAGTCAATCGAAGGAAACAACCAATCAGAGACCAGTTAGTCAGGGCAAGCTACTGAATCAGTCAGGCAGAGATATTGACAGCCCATTTCATACTGAAGTTAGTGCTGATGATGTCACTGTCTAGGAAGACGATGAAAGCGTCTCCAGAATTTAAGAACCCAGCTCAGAGAACACTATAGAACCAAAACTAACATAGTGCTCTATTCACTTAGGCTTCATATTAATAGACCTTCTGATTGAGCCATTATTATATCTAAGAATGGTAGCTAACTGTGGATGTCTTCACAAATAAGGCTATTACGAAGCGATTTCATCTTCTCCAGAAGGCACATCACAGCATCAGACTTCTCGGATGTAGTGATTATATAAACGACATTTCTCTTATAAAGCGAAACGAAATGAATGGGTGGTTGAAGATTCTTGATGATGATATGACTGAAAGTTGGTCACAATGGAGCTGTCGAATTCATTCTTTGATGTCTTCTTAAAGTTGATGGTTTTGACCAACTTTATTTTTAAATTCCTTCACCATCCAAACACCTTGGATATAAGTCTTCTTCTCTCCACTTGATCTTTGCCTTCTATTGTGAAGTGTGCCAACTTGAATCTACCTAATTGGATGTGAGGTTCTGCATTGATTTCCTCTGCGTTGTTCTTCTAAGTACGTCTACACAAGACATTTCCCCGTTGAAATTGCTTCCTGTATACAGTCGTTTTGAAAGGTGTTCTTTACGAAATTGATACAAAGTTTTTTAAATCCGTAGGCTTTGAATGGTACTGTTGAATTGCTGGAACTGACTGAAACAAAGACATTGAAATAACAAATCTCGTTCAGTACTGAATGTATACTTGAAATATGAATTCCAGCTGTTACCTTAGCATTTGTCAGCTACTCTATGCTTGTCACAAGATATTAAGCGCGGTTTGGATACTACGGTCTACAGGAAACCGACACATTTTAACTGATGTCTAGACTTCAAGTCATCTCTTCCACTATCAGTCAGTTAAGGCAGGTTTGGTCAAATGTCTAAATGATAGAGCTAGAAAACTTACTTGTCTGTGCAAGGACCTAAACAAGGAACTGAAGCACATGAAAGAAGTACTAATAGTTAATAAGTATCCTCTACAGTTTATTAAAAAATTCGTACGAACATATAAAGAGACGAAAAGTTAAAGGCAACACGAGTAGGAATAATAAGGACAAGATGAGTTCACATCCTCAATCGTGTTACGATCTAGGGAAGGTACTTTACGCAATATCATCAACAAAGCTGGAATTACTTGGGGTAGTATTTAAACCTAAAAACTCACTCAGAGATAAGCTTTGTTGGTTAGTTTAAGGATCCGATAGAATCAACTAAGCAAAATCATCGAATCGATCAGATTCCGTGTAATGACAATCAGGTGAAAACATAGATAAAACTAGTTGGTTGGAATCAGTTTGAATAGCGGAACATAGAAATTTAGCTAAATATAAGATCAATAATCTAAACAAGGAGTCGGTTATTAGAATGCATACACTAGCACACAACCACACAACAAGGTGGGTGGAATAAATCCGCTGTACTTTATTCTAATATGATTAGGTGGAGAGAGAGAGGGGAAGGGATTCATTAGTGAATTTTTGTTCATCAAATGAGCCAATATGCACCACATGTAACAGGGATGATGCAACGGTTACTCTGAACATGTGGATGATTTTATTATGAATAAAAGCCAAAACAGAACTGATCGAATATCGAAAGTAGTGTATGGTTTACTTGTTCTCTTTTTATTTCACTTCACTTTTCTTTCCTGTTTATCTCAACTAATCTAGGGGGTCTGTTATACATGTTTCCATTGGTCAATAGTTTTGTTCACATTCTAATGTATACTTATTATGGATTAGCTGCAGCTGGTTTATATCATCTATTATGGTGGAAGAATTATTTAACTCTTATTCAAATGATTCAATTTCTTTGGTTCATTCTACATCAAGGACAATTTCTACTCCCTTCAAATTTATGTCATTTCCCTAAAGTATTTCCAGCAGCTGTAGTTATTTATGCCTCATTATTCTTCATATTATTTTTAAATTTCTATACGAAAGCTTATTGGAAGAAAGAACGTTTAGCAAAATCATTGAATATTGAACAAACTTCTACTACTACTACTACTACTACTACTACTACTACTGATATAAAGAATATGAATAAATCTTATAAAGTATATGAAAGGGATTATGATAATTTAATAGGGAATTTATCTTTAATGAAGAAGATCAATTGAAGAGTGAATTGTCTATGGAAATGTATCATTGAATTGACTGTTGAATATATTCAGTAAATTACTCTGTTTCTTCATCTTTACTTTCAAGATAACACAATATCTGTTTGTGAATTTGTTAATTATTTTCTTAGTATGAATAAATTGTTATTGGTTGATTCATTCAATTGTCAAATGTAATACACAATTACTTGTGTTAATTAACTAACCTTTTCTCATCAGTTAACTACACAACATACTATGTAATGAAACAAAAACGTGGGGGAGGGAGGGGGGGAAGAGATGAGCCTACCAACTTGATCAAACACTAATTTCCTTGAGAAAAACGTTCAAAATCACCTTCTGGAAAGATTATTATTTTTCCTTTGGGTTCCCCTAATGGAACATAGGGCTTCAATAGCACGCCTCCATTGTACTCTATTCTCTGCAGTCTTTTGAACCTGGCGTCACGACTTCCCACAAGCTTTCATTTCTTCCGCACACCATCTCCTCCATGTAACCCTCAGCTGCGACACTCAACTCGTCGTTTCCCATCTGGGTTACACTCGAGAGTCTGGGGAGTGATGTCCGCGAGTGGTCTTTTCAGCTTATGCACAATCCATTTCGACTTTCTTCTGCATATTTGTTGGGTGATAGGTTCTTGGTTAGTTCGTTGCTAGTCCAGAATTCCTTGTTGCTTATTCTCATTATTCTGGCCATCTGATCTTCAGTATCGAGCCAGCTTAGATGGCAGCAGTTGACGAATATGTGTAGTTTTTTGGAAATGGTTTAAGTCACGCACCAAGTCTCTCAACCGTCACATATAAGCATCGAGTTGATTCAGTTAGCATTGAAAATCTGGATCTTGTCCTTTATGCTGAGTGCAGAAGATCTCTACACTGGTTTCGGGTTAATGAAGGCCTGTTTAGCTTTTCGGATTTTGCTTTGACATCCTCGTCTGTACCGCCTGTAGTTGAAACGATGCTGCCTAGGTAAGTGAAAGAGGTTACTTTTTTTAGGTTTCTCCCGCTGATTGTGATTGGAGCTTGTTGTTGCTGTTGTTGTTGGTTGGATATCTTCATCGCCTGTGTCTCCTCTACGTTCTCCTGAAAGGAGTTCCGTCTTCGCTGCCCTGCCCTGCCTCTTCTGTCAACTTGTTAATTTTCGCCTGTAGATCTTTGAGTTTGTGCCACAAGACATAAGGCACAAGTCATAGGCGAAATCCAAATCTTCCAGGATATTTTTTCGGTTCAGCAAATCCCCCTCTTCTCGCTCCTCACCGTTTGCTGCATGATCAACTCCAGTCAACCACAATCAGGAAGATCATAGGTGATAGTGGGTGGCAGCCTTGTCTTACTCCTGTTTTCACTGCACTTCAAAGGCGTCACTGAGCTTTCCATTATGAATTCCTTGGCCTATTAGTGTGCCAGAAAATCTACAACAAGAAATTGAACATATCAAGAATACCCTACGTATCAATAATTACCCACCCAAACAAATCCATAAGAAATCGAAAGAAAACTATCAACAGCAGCAGCAGTAATAGTAGTAATACACGTGTTATCAATAATAATTTCACTAATAATAGTAAAGATGGGGATAGGGTTGAGAGAGAATTCAATGCCCCTACTGTGTTACCATACAAACAAGGGATTTCAGAAGCACTACGAAGATATCTCAAAAAGGCATTTAAACCAACATACTCGCTTAGAAACAAGTTTTGCACTTTCAAAGATTCCATCGATGTAGTTAAGCAAAATAATCTGATTTACAAAAAACCTCACAGTGATTGTCAGGTAAAATATATAGGTCAATGCAGTCGATCAGCATCAATTAAGCGTCAGTTATTCACCCTACAGGTTATTCTTTTCTCATTAGAACTAGCAAAAATCTCATCTCGAAACATCTCACAAATCCACAAAGTCAGTTTCAATCGATTGGTTTGAAAAACTTCAAGCATTAAATGAGTGAATAATATTCATTCTTATATATAGCCGATATTTCTCAAAATGTGTACACATATATATGGTGAATGGATTGAACAACAATTGAATCCTCCCTGAAATCAATAAGTAACTCTGAGGAGATGACATTGACTCAATCATCTAAACAACAATATGGAATAGATGAGTGGGAAATGAAGAATGTTCAAAGAGAAGTCAACTTGTAAAATTGTGGGGTTAAACAACTGGGAGCAACATCAAAGCACTTCACTACTGAGAGTTAAGTTATTCACCAGTTGATGTCAGTTAGTCAGGCAATCATCAGGTTTGCTGATGAAACACTTAGAGAACAATATACCGATATACCAAATGTTTGACTAACATCTAACTCACTTTTCTATCCTTTTTCATATACTTAGTAATGATGGGCAGTGGCTAGCAGTGGAACCCATGATGCGCAATTCGTCCTATTTGGGACTCACTGGTCAGCTGGATGTACCTGCTTCCCAGTGAGTGATGTTGTTCCCACCGGGACTAGGACTCAGGAGCGATCGCTTCAAACGCCAGGGCGTTATCCACTACACCACCGAGCCACGATAGCCACTTCTTTTGCAACGGATATAGATTTTAGTGCTATTGCTTGTATTACACCGTCGTTGATAGGACCGAATTGATCAGCCTCTATATACAATAAAAACAACAACAACAACACTTCCACGTAGACAGACAAAGTAAACTAAACTAAACGGAATAAAGTTTAATAATGATTAACAATGAATCTATTCTGGTTATTGATTAATTATAGAAGAAGAGAATATAATCATGGTCATTTCAAATAATGTTGAATGAGTCCTATTCAGTGGTGTGTGTGTGTGTGTGCGCGCATGTATCTCTTGTCAATGCCTATACAGATATGCAATTGTATTAAGGTGAAACAAGTGAACGTAGCACTACAATGTGTGTAATGTAGTGTGGTGTAATATAATGTAGAGAAGTTTAATTTTCAATAAATTTGATAAACTTCTTCTACTCATCATCATGTGGATAGAAGATGAGATAAGTAAGGTCAAATCGATAGTGAAAGAGCAGAGAGAGAAAGTGAGGCCAAGTTACTGATATATACTACACGTGTATTGATTCTTCTTGTTCAAAAATAATTTCACTTGAGTACAGATCATAACATTGTCAATTCAGGTAAAGTATGTCGACTACGTGTGTGTGTGTGTGTGTGTGTGAGGGTGCTGTGAATTGAGCTCATATCATAACAATATGATATACAGTAAAAGTGTCCACTCCACTCCACTCATTCAAAGATGTTTACAAACTCCAATTGCTCAATTATGAGGGGATACAACTGACACCTAAGTGTAGTTGTCGTTGTTCAAGAATTGAAATGTGTAAACTAACAATTCAATGATTCACTGACACTCTTCTCCTTGCCTTACTTACTATTTACGTCTATGTCTACTTTTCCTAGTTGATTCACTTCTGTTGACTCAGTGATATCGTCATTGTCAATGTGTTCTTTAGTCCACCACCACCATCACCATCGTCACTGATGCACGATCATTTCACTGTTGCTCCTACATCCAGTATAGTCCCTCACAGATACGAATATCTTGAAAACTCATGTAAATTTATTAATGCCGATCACGTTTTGAGGTGTATAAGGGAGGAAGAGGAATGAAGTAGGCACCTTTTGAGGTGAGTCATATCTCATCCTGTTCATACTGTGTGTTCATTGAAATTAGATGTGACTGCCTGGAATCATCATTCAACTCACCAAATGTCACCAATGACTGACTGAATGACTGCCTAACTGGCTGACAGACTGATTGAGTCACTGTCTGACTTCTCCTCGATGGCATGCTACAGGGCAATAAACTGAAATACGCTTCCTGTCCAGTGATATACTTTCACTGCTAAGCTAAACAACCGATATAAAGCGCGTAACTAATTCACAATTAGGCTGTTGTTTAACAAGAACATGTGCACATCACACAAAGGGTTGATCGGTTCCTCGACAACAGTAAGAAGCTTCTCAGTGAGTCATAGCATACCAAAGATGTTATGGTATACATATAATGTCCTCCGGAATCTCCACACCTCCACATAAACACGCTTACTTAGTGGTTTTGCTTGTTCAACCACTCTGATATTTATGTGTATGATCACATACCGACTTCTTGTTTCAATACTTTTCACTATGCTAATCCTTTATGAAATGGATGATGAGGGAGAGATGGAAATTTTCTCTGAAGCACCTTCAACTTGACTGCACATACTGATATACTGTTTGACTCAACTGATTTATACCCCCCATTTCATTACTCATTGAGTGAATTCAATTCTTGACAATATTCATCAGCAAGATTCCCTTGATCCTTTTCTCAACCTTCTCTTACACACATATAACACTTGTCTGTCAGTGAAGACACTGATGACTGACATTGACGATGAATAGATCATATCAGATCATCTGTCAAAAACTGCTGTAAACTAAATTCACACTGACTGAAGATAAAAGTTCACAATGAATCGAAATCCATCAGTCTGCCTGCCATATATAATCGGTCAGTTCTCCCAAATGCCTGATCTCTATGCTCACCACTATATCTCACGTTGACTGCAATTGGAATAAGTAACAGAAAACACTGAAGTGATGATTCACTGTAGTTTTTTACTCACTCACCAACTGACTCACTCACTCATCAATCATATTTGTGGAGAAAATCATCAAGACGTCTGTGCCACCTTTTTCAACGTGTTTAACCATCTCGTTTCACTGGCTACTACACATCATCATCATGAACCAATCAGTTCGATGGTCACATTGATTCATTCGACTGTAGGAGAAGTATACTGTACAGATAATCAGTCGCTAGTCATGATTGATATTCACAGTGATAAATAGATATGTAGATGATAAATCAGTAATGATATGAAAATTTTTCTTTCAGCCAGGTGACGTGAATCGATTACTTATCCACCTTATGTAAAGTTTTATAGGACAGTGAATGTGAAGTGGAAATACTAATTCCTGATTTATCTACTTACTTCAACTACCGACAGTAATCAAAATGTGGATGGATGGATGGATGGATGGAGAATAGGAAATTGTGTTGATAAACAGATTACCTACTGGTTATTCATTCAAACACGGGGGCATATGATTGAGGCGACATAATAGAGAGAAAGTGAGGTGTAGGTGAATGTGTTAGACATAGAGGCATAGTTGGTGTTTGTGGTCAGTTGACTGACTGTGTGAAGTCATGATTGTTGAATATATCCCCTTA